GGGGGGGGGGGTGTTGGACATCCCTGTGTCGGGCGCCGCGGAATGCTGCGAGGGTGAAGGCAGGTAAACAGGACCGTGCGGTGCGGCGCGGCGCGGCAGGCCGGACCAGTCGTTTGCTGCCGCCGCCGCCGCCGCCACAGCTCGCGCCGCGCGTGCCTGGCGTTCCAGCTCTCGGCGCCCGGCGCCCGCCACCACACGCGCGGTCGATTTTCGGTGCTGCGCCTTCGACGAGTCTACTCACGTGTGATTCAAACGTTTCGCCTCCGTTGGCGACCTTCAAAGGTTTACTAATATGAAACTGCGTGGTTTTTTGGGGGATGCGGTGAGTGGTTCATTATCATTTTCAAATTTTCGATGAGGTTACGAATTATCTAGGTACGTTTCTTTTATTTGGTTTCGTGTCGTTAAATTTGTATTATCTGAGCTGAAGTAATCGTGCGTTAACATGGCATAATCATCCATTAGAAACATGAAGAAATTCTACGTAAAGTTTAAAATGAAAGTAATTTTATTTACATTCCATCTTCCTTCCCCTCTTACTCGCCCCGCCCTGTTCAGAGACTGCACTGTGTCGCATACAGAGACAAATTGTGCTCCCTCGCTGTGCTATGCTCGACAGCCCTTCTTCACCTCCTTCCCGTCAGGACAAATTTTCAATTTGGTCATTGCATCACTTAAAGCACAGTTCTTATCAAACTTAATCAAAGGAACTTTCACTTTGTGATGATTTGCAGTATTTATGCCTGTCAAATATATTTATGGCTGCTTTTCCAGATATTATGCAAGAAAAATAATTTAATTGTCGTTTAAATACCAGTTTTTTTCCTATTTATTTTAAATTATAGTAGCAGCTTTCGACTACCAGGTTGTCATTATTATTAACATCATAACTTTCGCTCTGATATTCACAGTCAATTGATGTTCAAGGCTTTTTCTTAACTAATGTATCGAGTAAAAACAAGTATCATTATTTTCTAAGCCCATTCTTGACTTTTCCACTATTCATTAGACATTTGTTAATTCGTGTCCATGTACGAAATGGCATTCTCTGTAGAAATTCTCTTGCTTATTGCAAATAGTATACTTCACAGAATTTGAAAGATAAAGAATTATTTAACGTTACTAATGGAAGTTTAATACCGAGAAGAGACCTGTACACAGCAACGCTTTTTAGGAGTTGTTAAGAAGTAACTAAAAAGAAAGTTCGATTCGCGGGAAAGCAATTTGGAATGTTCCATTCGTCAGCAGTGCCACGGGCATAGACACGCCGAATGTGATTGATTTACGTGGGAGGGCGCGAGAGAAAATAGAGAGAGATTGCTATCAGAACCGACCGCATTAAGCGGCGGCGGTGGTGTAACGGTTAGCGTTTCGGTTTGCTGTACCCAAGTTGTCAGGTTCAAACCTGATAGCCGTGGATTTTTAAGGGCGAAAAAATCCTACGTACGCCTTCCTTCGGAGGGGAAGTAAAGCCGGCTGTCCCATGTTACTTGCATGTAAAAGATCCTCAAGCCTCCTAAATGACGCCTGTGAGCTAAATTCAAATCGCCTGTTTCTCGCCCAAGAAATGGTGAAAGGAGCGTAGCGAAATTTGCGTGGACGGAAGGCAGGCCTAATGGCCTGAGTCTCGCCACGTAAAATAAGGCATTAATTCAATTCAATTCAATTTATTAACAGCTACTGCGTACAACATAACTGCAGGTTATGTCCATCAGCTCAATTCGTCAATGCATGTCGGTTGGTTAGCTCATTAGTAAATGGTTGAACTGTAGGAAGAACACAAACACACATATGCCCACACAAACATCCATGCCCAAGGCGGGGTTCACACCTAAGAAACTTCGAGCCGAGGCAGCTACGGCTCGTCAGCCCTGCAGCTATCCAGGCCGGCATGTATTGTTTGTACTCCATAAAAAAAATTGTCATTTAGATCCTTATTCCTGACAAGACTTCAATTACCCAAACTAGCTTCTAATTGTAGATTATGTAGCCGATAGGTGACATCAAATGCAGTTGACAAGTTCATATGTAGCAGCCATTGTGGCAAACGTGAACTTTGTTTTGAGGTCCATTAAACACATTAACAAGTCAAAATATTTTTCAGCTCAATTTCTGTGCCTTATACAACATAGCACGTACAATGCGTTTATCTCTCATGTGTTATACAATCTTCAAAAAATGTATTTAATATCTGAGTGTGATTAACTTTGTTCAAAGAATTGTGATCCTGGCACTCGGGATTTGAACCCGGGTTTCCTGGCATACGCCCAGACCGCGGGTTCGTGACCCGGTAGTGGGTGACGATTCTTTGAACAAATTTAATTATTAAAATACATTAGTTTCTCAGTAACAAGGTCACAGCTTGGATGCATTTACTGCCGCGGAACATATTTCCGGTGTACGTACGTATCCAATAAGGTGACAGAGTGGTGACAATGAATATGGTCGTGAGGTGGGCGGCAAGACCGGCGGGAAGTCCAGCGAGGCCGTTGGCTGAGGCAGGCGGAGGGGCGAGAGGGGGCGTGGCGGCGGGAAAGCTTGTCACGTTCCATTCCTCCCACTGGCGCAGCGCGCGAGGGCTGCGAAATTTAATTTCGGAAAAAGTGTCGCGCATTCCGACGCTCTCTTGCGGCTACATCGGCGCGCCCTCCGCGCGGCACGCCTTCCACCGCGTTTCCTCTCCTCTCTCCCCTCCCCCTCATCCTTCCCTCCCTCCCTCTCATCACACCCACCTCCCCTTCATCACACACCCTCTCCCCCTCATCACACCTCTCCCCCCCTCATCCTTCCTCCCCCTCATCCCTTCCTCGCCCACCTTCTATCCCCTATCCTTCCCCCTCATCCCTTTCCTCCCCCTCATCCCGTCCTCCCCTCATCCCTTCCTCCCTCTTATCCCTTCCTTCCTACCTTCCCCCTCCCTCACCCCTCTTCTCCCTCCCTTCTAAAATTTCCTCGTCAATTACACACCCAACTGAAGAAAACATGTCAATAATTTGCAAGAAGCTACTCAATTATCCCAATCGAAACAGAGTGGTTATCAAAGCGTTAAAAAAATAGTAATAAAAAACCCTCTACTTTTAGCGTAACTCGAAATAAAAAGCAACGATATCAGTTCTCTCTGCAATTGTCAACATATTAGATTCGTTATGTAATGTTATATATGTTATGTAATGTTACATATGTTATGTAATGTTACTAGTTCGAATTACGAAAGTGAAGTGACAACTGAGCATCGAACACTCATTTTCTTCGAAATTCAATCGGCCAGAGTTGATCTGCTTTCGGCGCTTCTCCATCATCCATAGGGCAAGACACCTTTCTCTCTCCAGAGGAGATGAAGGAGAACCCCCCAACTGAGAACGAAATTGCACACATTAGTGTAGAGCAACTAATGGAAAGAGAATCGCCTTTTCGAAGAAGAATTGCGAAAGGTATTGAAGGAAATGGGCACCATTTCGAACATTTGTTGAAGTAAAACATGTCGAAGTGGGAGAGACAACGAAACACGCCTAAAAAATCACCCTAATGTTTAAACGCGAGGAGACTTACCTGAAACGAATTGAGGTTGAGAGGAGAGGAAACTCGTCTAAAACAAAAAACCCCAGGGAACAGAGTACTATGTCCACGACGTTGTTCCTGAGTCACGCTAAAAGTTGTTTATTTTGAAATTTTTGATAGCTACACCACGATGTGTGGTGTCATTATGCAGCTTCTGACAAATAATTTCCCACGTATATTTTTATTATATTTTCGATTTATGTGTATTAGACGTAAAAATTAATAATGATTTTTTTCTTATTTTGACTTGTCAATTACAGCGCCGTGTATCAGGAAATCGACCTCCCCCCCCAAAAAAACGTAAAATACTAAAGTGACGTATTTTTTTCAAAAAATCCGAATTTGCAATAAAAATGGGGGGTTATATATATATATATATATATATATATATATATATATATATATATATATATATATATATATATATATATTGTGCTCTCCTCTACTACCATGGGTGGGGGTGGAGCTCAAGTTTCCCAACGTGTATGACCTCCGTCGTTACGAACAATGCTCATTACACACTTCTCTTGATCCGAAGCGCACTATTCAAGATATTTCCTAAGCCTGTTTCCAAAACAACATCCTATTTACCAGCAAATTCTTAAATTTTAAAATACATTTAGAGCATACGACCAGACGAAGTACTTGGGGCCCAACATCATACCAACATCATTATGCAATTTTTAAGCTAATAACATATTTTTTACATTTTTTTTTATTTTCCCGTCGTATTTACGATGTCTCGAAAATGTTTAGTATTATAAGGTAATTGAAAAAAAAAGACCTTCCACTAAAAGCACAGCATAGCACATACTACATCTAAACAAACACATTGCACATTGCTCAGTACACAGTACATCAATTTAAACACATTGCATTTATAATCATATTCACCTATAGTACATCACACACACACACACACACAAAATCTCGCATAACTTATCATTTCCTCGAAGGCTATGCCCAACACAGCCATATGCATTTGAGAACACGCGGCTAACGGCTGACCCTCTTGCCTTCGAACGGTCAAGCAAAACCGTTTCACGCTCACTAACGCGCGCACAATAGCCTCAACCCTTGGCTTTCCACCCCATTCCATTCGACCAGAGTACTCGGGTTGCAAGCCGACCGCGTCGCCGCGTTAAGTGCTTCCAGACTGCGCTCTAGGACGCAGTAGCTGCAATATCCAGGTGGGCCTTTGCTGCATTAGCGTTGAGGAGAATAGCCGTTTGGAGCGTTTTACCCCACGCGTTACTGTGAGTGTATGCTTCGCACGTGTGAAGGGTATGTGGGAAAGCCCTGGGCCTTTGTCCACCGAAAATTACTTTCGGTTGGATGAAAGCCGCGTTTGAAACAGTTCCTCTGCCGCTGGCAATGAACTGTAGAAAGATTCTCCTAATGTCTTGGAATTCGCCTGGATGCTTTCAGTCGCGATCGCTGGCTTCCTGGAAAAAACTTCGCGTGTAGTATGAGAAGGACCATTATCAGATTATTTTTGTCACTTCAAAGTGTTAGCCCCTCTACACCGCCACAGTGAGATTTTCCCTCAGGGAGACATGTGTGAAGTGAGCTTAAATATCTGGAAAATTTGTATCTCTATTTGCGTCTCTGTAAAATGGAATCGTGTCTAATACACGTTTATTGCTTCTGTAGGTTTCTCGATAATGTGTTGGTACATTCTACGCTATTGAACCATACCTTTCTCTTTGCACATTTGCAGTCTCTTCTCAGTGTCTTGTCGTAATTTCTGTCACAATTCGCTGC